GTCCTTCAAAGACACGAACCGGAAACCTCTCGTACAGAAATGAGACCCGTTCCTGTAGAGCCACAGGAATCAAGTTCTTTTGAAAATCTCACAAACCATGTCGATGTAAAGATCACAGACTTCTAATCACAATAAAATAGTTACAACATCCTATGTTCCAAACTAAATTGTCACCATGTTTCTTATCATCATCAAGAATGTGACAGGCTTTGTGGCTGGGCTACCCACAAGAAGCCCTTGGCGCGAATTTCTGCCTTGTTCAGAACACCCCAAAGAGACTCTTGCCACAATTATTACTTCTGTTCCAGATGGTTCCTACCACTTTTATTTGTGCCTTAATTTTCTCTACACCCTTTTATTTTGAAACTCTACAGTTTATCAGCCCTTGTTAAAAACGTCACCAATTAAGACTCAAGGTCGATACAAAAATTAAGGACTTGAAGACCTCGGATCACATGAAATCTGAGACGCTGAGCTAAAGAAATGTACAAACAAAACCCCATGTGCCGTTTATCATAGAGGGTTGTGTTGTGGTTTTTTATCCAGGAAAAGGGAGCATGTGTCCATGCCTTACCCGCCTATTAAGCTTGTTCTTCAGTTCTATACAAAAGTGTTCTTCCGTCCGCCTGATTCGTTTAAACCTTAGAAAACACTTCATCAGGACAATAATATATGCACTCAACAAAAGACTATTGGAGAAAAGATGCCCTTTAATTAGGGTGATTAAATTTAACTATCGGTGCGATAGTTCATTCAGTAAAGTGACCAAAATACAGAAAATAATTTCCTGGAAAGTTTAGAGTCTTCTTCGCCGCCATTTGTACCAGTTCTGAAATCAATTCACAAGAGCCTGAGTCGAGACAGGCGCTGTCTGTCTCCGGAGACAACGCTGCAGGAACACCACTTTTATCTTGTGTCGAGGTCCGGAATCCGTGGAGTTTCACCTCTAAGTTTCTCATACGACTGCAAAGTTTGGCTTCAAACACAGTAGCAAACTCAACTTTACGCGATTTCAGGTTCTCATGGCGATGAATCTAAAGATACCCGTATTCTATAATGTTCCACCGTTACTGACTGAGTCATCGCCCTGATGATGGTGGCAGTAAGCCTCTCTCAAACGCCGGTCAATATATATCGTAGTAAACGGCGCGACGTCCTAGATCTTTAACGTTATCTTTATCTGACCATAATGTACCCGATGTTCATTAACTTTAGAATCCTGAAACTCTGTACAGTTACACAGTACCTGACTTTATTTTGAGATGCTAACTAAATCAACTTCATAGATCAGTTACCACCTTAAGAAATTGATAGTCGTTCATTCAGTCAATATATTTCTCGTCTCTTACGGAAGCCGTAGATTCATCACCGCGTTCACGACAACTGGCCATTTAGAAACAGCCGCGGTAAATTAAATTTTTTCATGAACCAAATTTTGCCCACCCCTACTACAAACAAATTAGAAATATCTTCCAAATCCTTCCCGATTTTATAATTCATAATCAAACATGTCCATCGACACTACATGGGAATGAACCCTGCGACTGACACAGTTTCGTTAGATAACTTAAAAGAGGTTATCACATTACACACACTGGCGGTATTCAGGTCTATGTGGTGGAAGTTTTATAAAATTCTTGCAAACACGGTTCTTCTTTCCTTGTTACAGATGAAGACATCTATCGAAATTGAATGTGACAGATGTTGTTTGAGGAAATGCTTGCATTTCGCTGAAATGCCCCCCTGTGCCCGGCGACGCTGGAATGTGATATGAGAAGAAGAAAAAGAGAGAGAGAATATGAAAAACAACCTGCTTATTCTCTCCGCCAAGCATCTACGTATGTTATATGCTGTGATGGACAAGAATCATAAAACAACGCGAGACATCAAGATGTACATAGAAATTCAGATTTATAAAAATGTACGTGCAACAGTGCAATCAGGACAGGAGTTAGCCAACGTCTACCCGCATCCGAACTTCTCGTCGTAAAAAATAAGAACAAAGGAGAGTATTACATAACTTTGGTACAATTTGCATTTTTCGCCCAGTATTAAATTAAGATTCTTTCACGTTATCCTTGAAAGAAACTCAGTATTGTGTTATATCATCCAAAAGGACACTCCAAGAGCTTCTAAACAACATCACTGAAAGAGAAAATGCAATAATTTCGAAACTACAGCAATTTTTAATCAAGCCCAGTGAAAAAGAATGTGTAATTTTATCGAATTTGACTCATTTATTTCTAAAAGCAATTTCAGAATCCAGTAACACCAAGACACCGTCCGTCCTCAGGAGCGTATGCAAGTGATGGCTACCAGATATGAAGGTTAGTTGCGAATGTTTTGAACGAAGAGTCGCGGACAACATAATCCAAGACAGCAATAAAAAAAGTAGCACATAGAAGAAACGTGGCACAAAAGTTTCTTTGTTTCTTGAGCGACTATTTAGTTTCTGAAGGAGGACTTTGTTCCATGCAGTTAATTATTTAGTCAATAAAAATGCCAGAATTACAACCAAAAGTGTGTTTTATTCATTCCTATTTGACTATAGTACTGTAATATAACAAAATGTAACTTAAACGTACCTCCTTCTTCCTTCTTTATTAAACTCACGTCTCCCAAATATTCCAGAACAGATTCTACACGATTTTAGCATCGTTGCGTAACGTTAACAGTGTAAATTCTATTTTAAAACATATTTTAATTAAAGAAATACTTTGAGAGGACTAAACCGAAAGGTATGAATAAAAATGATTCCCCTTAAAAAACCAAGTGGTAACTACACGTACCACCAGCTTTAACTATAATTATGAATTTTTTCCATACGGTGTATATACGAGTTCCGAATGGTCCTCAGAGAAACAACTTTCCTTCACGGCATTAACCAACTGATCTTTGTAATGGAGAAGTGTTGTTTTTCCTATGCGGCAGAAATAAATATTACGTAGAATAGTTCCGGCTTCGAAGGGTTAAAATGGCTTCTTTAAACGAACCAGTTTTGTAACACAATGGGAATTTTATAATATTCTATTATATTAATCGCTTATAAAGGAACGTGAACTGTTGGCGCTGGATGCAACATCGCTGTATCCCTAAAACGGACGTTTTGGTCTTGTTCTGATTTCTTGTTTCTGCTGATATGAATGCACTTCCGGTGTCCAAAGTTCATTTGGCCGCTTATTTTAAGTTGTTTATTGGTCCTTACGTCACACATATAGAACCTACGTGTAAGAGTGGCGTATAGTGCTACAGTCATTAAGCGTTTTTAACACAAGCCACGTAATAAAACAATGCCATCTAGTGGACTGACATTTTGTCCGCTGTTATGAATAATGCAAAACTATCTCTTAATTTAAGAGAATGAAATCGAAAAATTTAAAAATTACTTGGCATAAACCAACAGGGGATTATAAAGGAAGCAAACAGTAAAGAATGTAGTTATGTACACTTCGCAGTTAATAATGTCTGTGTAATTAAACTTCTTTTTATAAAAACTATGGTGTACTAAGCACCACGTCATAAAGACATACGGTGATTTGGAGGTACAGCCCCATCCTTTATTCAGCTAGGCACTGACAGAGGTTAGAGGTCACCTTCATTTCCCGGCCGCATTAACGATTGACATAGGCCACTCTTATACGAACTATAGCAATGCTTTACTTGCAGCACGTTCCTTCTTTGTTTCTCAATGTTCGCATAATACAGACGTCACAACATGGCAGAAAAAATCTGTACGGAATTTTTACATAAAATCCACAAAGAGAAGTTCCGATATGTTAGTTTCTGCAAGTCAGATTTTAGGGGATGCCTATATAAAACATACGATTTCTCTATTTCATGCGTGTGTTGGGAGACGGTATACATGAGGAACAGATGCTGCTGTGTAGGATGTGGTGAAATCATGGAAGTCGGATCAAAGGACTACACTGTTATATTGAAGCATACGAAAAATATTACCCACAAGGCGCTATATCAAAAAGAATAACGCTACGTATAATGCGCAAACCTGTTTTGTTAAGTAACGTTTAACATTAGGGTTTCGCATGTAACAAGTTATGATTTACTCGAGTCATTCGCAAATTAATACAACTGTTTAGGAAGTCTATTGTTCCACTGCATACGTTATGGACATGTTCAATCGCCTTCAGGGTTTCTTATAACAAAAAAAGCGGAGAGATACTGGACAAAAGAAGTTCTGACGAGCTAATCCACCATAAGTTGAAACATTCGATCTACCCATAAAAATAAGATAAGAAGAATAAATGACAACTGTGACTAAGACATTCCTAATTAAAGTATTCGTCGGTTTAAGAATTTTTACTAGAAAAGAAGCCAGTAGTCAAGTTAAGGCATGTTTCATAGTCATAGTTAAAAATAAATTACGACTTTAAATTAATATTATTAATTATTTTATAACACCGATATTAACTAAATTTAAAACAAAAAAGAAATATCTAGAGAAGAATTTTATCAAGTTGCCAAAAATGATACTGCTGAATATGGCAAAGTCGAACAAAGTTGGGACACCCTGGACTCACGCCTTCATTACTCCTCAAGTTATTCTGGCAGAGACTAGCATTTAAACAGTGCGCGTTCGCGGTGCACTAGCGAGCACGTGAAAAGCGGATATTAAGAGCCAGCCATTCGAGTAAAATTAAATAAGGCTTACTAAGAAATAACGGAATAAATTAATACGAATGTGTAACAATGAACTACGTGAGGTTCTAGACTGAACTCAAATTTCCATTCCAATAATGAAGAAAGACGGACAGATACGTCATGCCAGCTGAGCGAGTATCAGCTTCTACGAAATTGCTTCCTTTATTACAGAACTGCACAAAATTAAGAAGAAACTTAATTCCAACAGTATTCCTTCGAAAGAACATTACCACGTGCTATTATAAAATAATCTATTCATTTATTCACGTTAGTTCATGACCAGTCGACACATAACTCGTCGGAGTCACCTGCCACCTGACTGATTAATTTATTGTCTTAATAAACTGCAAGAAATTTGGTGCTGTAATAACAAGGCGATAAAACACGGCGAAGAATATTACAAGAGTATGGATGATTACAATAAAAAACCACTACTTGTTCGAACACACGTGTGAAGCACCGCTTTCAGTTTTAACACCCACATATTACAAATTATAAACAATTAACTTCTGTAATAAAATTATTAGACTTGTCCAGGGAGGGGAGACCACTTGGGAGTTAGACTGTAAATGTTATAATGACATTAAAATGAAAATCAGAAAAGGACTCAGTCCGGAAAGCGGCCGCATGTTTCTCAGAAACATTGGTATCTATTTACAAGTCCACTCGTCGTTACTGCCCAAAAGACCTACATTAATATGAAAAAATGTCGAAGCTCAATATATGACAACTGCTGGTGTCTTTTAAACTTATATTTTATATTTCACCCCCAAAAATGTAGCAGTGTACAAAGTTCCAAGATATGAAAACAATCTTCTTACCTATTCATCTTTATTGAATTGTCTCCAATTCAGTTCTAACCTTAACGCTGGTGCAGATGCTGAACATATATTCTTGTAGGCAGAGTATTTTTACATGCTTGACACGTATAAGGATAAAAGTCTCCGATATGCATAATAACATTTCCATCGAGCTACTTTACGTCGTTGCTAGCTCCTATAACTTATGCAGGCTGTGGAATAGTACGAGCCTGTGCGTACGGTGTCCACGGAAGGGGAAGAAGTCGAGGGTCCGGAGAGACGAAGACTTAATTTGAACGTCACATGTTGTCATAATAAAACACACGACACATCATCCCGAAAGTAGGGAGGGAGTGCACGACAAGCTGGCGAGAGACAAAGATAAGAATTTGTGAAGATTTATTCCACAGCATCCTTGGATTATTCCAGTTGTCAGATATAAAGAACAGGGAGGAAAAATCAATAAAGGGAAAGGTGGTAAAAATGAGAAAATCAATAAGAACACAAAAGGATTAGATCGAAGCAAAATTTGTGATTATCTTAACGTTCATTTAAAACAGACACAAATGAAGTCCTTCGAAGTTAATCAAACAAGAGACGGCAAAAATTCAACCCTTAACTGAAGAAAGAACTTTATTTTTTTAAATCTAGTTTTCGGTCTGACGGAACACACTTGGAATTACGCAGAAACCAAGTTCCACGTAACACCGGATCTTCTTTGGTGTCGAAACTTTCTCTGGCGGTTTCAAAGGCCATCTCTCAACTACCATAAATGTATTCAGTTACCTTGAAGTAAACATACAACGTCAGAAGAGCCAATGGCAAATCGGCTACTTTTTTAACTGAATACAAATTTAAAAGCGAAGACACTTCTGTAATTAAACACTACGTCTAGGGTAAGAACAGAACGTCTCAGACCCTGACATTTGATGCAACTACGAGTATGAACATGGCTGTCTACTGTCAAGATGCATCGTGGAATTACTGTCTCAATTACCAGGATAATCATTACAGATTTTTATTTGAGAGATATTAGACTTGATTCTCGGTCGGATTACTGTCAATCCCTTTCTAGGTTTTCCGTGGTTTTACTTAGTTTCTTCAGGTGAATTCAGAGACAGCAGACCTACATTAAAGCAGAATACGACGAGCTCCTCCATCAGTTCATTAAATGGTTTTAAAGGTTTACTGACGTGGTCTAGTGGACAACAAGTATGTAGTTCTGTCGACATTGTACATCACCTGAATAGATCTCTAAACGACGTTTCGGTAGCTATTTCCATCACCGTCCACAGGTCGGAAGATGGAGAAGGGGTGCGTATTCTATATTTCGCTCTTCATAGTTCAGGGACATATCACTTGATCTTATTTGCCGGTAAACATTTCTAACTGAATGCTCTTTCACTCTTCACAGCGACTTCTAACATACGACATTCCGTAAGTAACTTTATTCTAATTTTCACCGTGGATTGCATAGGCCAGCGTATTTTATGCATACATTTATACCCCAAATCAGATACATTTCAGTGTATAGTGATAAGGAGCTACTTTATCTAACTGGCCTCACAACTGTACCAATGGTTTTTCTTTATACCCAAGGATGAAAACAGAAACACCTTCGAAAACATCGGATACCTTTTTATAAAACACAATGTGTAATGATCTAATACTGCTTTAACAGTTCATGATCGTGTGTCCATAAAATTCGACGTCATATAATCTCCACAGCTGAAACAGCGTCATGAAATAACCTATGAGGTTGAACGTATATTATCTAGTCACAATATCAATGAATAAGTCGGGAAATTAAAACAGTTGGCTTTGAAACAAGACATGTAGACGTGTATGATTCTGTTTCCAGGTGTAAGTTGAAGCCGTCTGCACGTCTCTTGCACAGTTCTGTATGGTACAAGAACCTGCCGGAGTAAAATAAGATGACAGAATAGAGAGAAATGGCTATGTTTCTTTTTCCCAAGAAAACGCAGGTTACACAAGCCGCCCGCTGAGACCGAGTGAGCGACTTATGAAAAACAGCCGCCGTGACTCGAA